TTAGCTTACGTAGTATATAATGGTTAATAATTATGTTTAGTTAATATAATCTATTCACTACATCTCAATGGATAGTCTCTCTGTACGCAGACAATTGTTAGATCTTTTATTCCTCTTCAAGTTATTCGTAACGAGGTCGACTGTACCTGCTTACTTAATGAGATACACTATCGTATTCCAAGGAGCAATGCTTGCAGTTTTCTAGGTACCTTTGATATTAGAATATCAAAAACTAAATTAGGAAGTAATGCCCCTATGTCTAGACCATCTCGGCTATACAATATTTTAAGTCAAGATCTAGATATTTTTAGTAACTCTGCCATGACATTTCGTAAACGGGCGCTAGAATTATTGAGAGATGCAAATAAATAAATAAATTATAAATGTTTAATAGCTATTTATATTAATTTTAGTTTGTATTGATTTGAATATTTTAGTGATTTTAATGCATGTATTTAATGAATTATTTAATTTTAATTTTATTAAGTACTTGTTTGTTTTTTGTGGTTTTTAATTTGTATAAATTTTTACTTATTTTTTTAAGATCTTTCTCTTATTATTATTAAGATCTTTCTCGCTATAATTATATGTTAATATATTATTAAAACATTGTAATTGTTGTGGCCACTTTAAAAAGCTACACATGTAACCTATTTCCATTTAATTGTTTTATATTCGACATTAAAACATGTAGTAGCTGCTAGTGGTCCTTAAAATAAATAAATAAATAAATATACAAAATACGCTTTATATCTTTTGAAGGAACCAAAGCTTTAAGGGTAAAACACGTATCTACGTTTAAATTTTTAAAACTAGCAGGTAGTAAGAGCTTCAAGTTGCCATAGAATAGGGCCTCGCGAAATCTGTCTTGCCCATATCAAATTTAGGTCTTGCCCCGCCACTGACTACAGGTTTAAATCGCTCACGATATGTTTGACATCAATGTGTGTTTAATAAAACAATTAACTTATCTACGAATTACGATCACCTTTAAACATTACGAGTAACCTGAAAGGGAATGATATCATTTTCTTAGAACTTGTAACTGACGTATTTTAAATATATATTAATTTATTTGTTAAAATGTCGGTACTACGTGGTAATTGTGGAATTGTATTTAATACAAAAATGTTTTTATTTTCAGTTATAAGAACCTCAGGAAAGACGATCTTTGAATACCTTACCTAAATAGAACGTGCAAGCTTCCAGAACAAGTTGAAACGAGTTCGAGTAATAGCGGTAATGATGAAGAGGTAAATCAACACAAAATAGAAACATTCAAAAACAATGATTTAGAATCCTGCAGATACAGATGTAAGTTTACTAATTTCGATATTAATATCTTATTAAAAGTTCAAACAACATTGGTAAATTTGAATTTCCTCTGCTCCCTTAAAGACGGGTGTGACAGTTCTAGATGTAAAAGTTTCGGTTTACTCCTTTGTTTTATTTTATTTTTCAGATCCATCACAATCTTAATCTTACTAAATGCATGGCGAAAAACCATTATTATCAATATAAAAGACGAGATTCGATGCCCAATGGACAAATAAGTCGACTTTTAAATGACAAGACTATTTTCAATATGAAAGGTACATAATATATAGAATATATGTTATATAGATTATATCAGGTATCCATTGGAAGCGGAAATGTAACTGTGCGAGCAAGTTTATACGCTAATATGGATTGGACGTCTCATACCTCCGCGACGCGACAACTGCTGCAGGCTTCTTTCCTAGAGGTAATCATTATTAAATATCGTTACTATTATACATACATAGCATAACACAATCATATTATTTTTTAGAGTTTTAGCTTCCCTTTCTAGAGTCGTCTAATACAAGGGATTAATAATATAACATATGATTTGTTTCGTGGTGAATAAAACATCAGAATAAATATATGAATATGATGATTTAAAAATGCAATGTTTAATATCTTCCCCTCTGTTTCTATGTGTAATACTCAGAGAAATTGCAAATTGAATTACGTTAATCACAAGATTTATATTTAATTCATAACAACTTCTTAAAGAGTTATAAACTTTAAACCAAATATGATAGATTCCCTGTATCTAATAACTATTTAAGATTTTCATAAAGAGATATTGTGATAAAGATTTCAATTTTTTTCTATTGAAATTTCAGGACCAGTATCACAACAAAATGTGAAGAAGAAAGCAAAATGTTCCGAATACGCCATTCAAATAAAAAGAAGCGAAAGTCCACAATAAAAGAAAATATCTGCCCAGATGATGAATTAGAAGAATCTTTTATTTTAATTAGAAAAACAGAAACCAAAACAAACATAAGATAAAAATATGAGTCAGGTAATTGTGTACTTGTGTCATTAACGCAATACATATATTTAAAGTTAACATGGGATTCTTAAGGATCTGTTTCTTTAATTATGTTTCAATAACGAAAACATATTTCACATTGTGTACACATTTCATTGTTGACGATAAAAATAGTAAATGTTCTCGTTTCATCGTCATCTCTAAAAAGGAGGCCTCGCTAATATTTAATTCTTTGACAAGTATGTGTTTTGTTTACAGTTATAAGGACTCTCTAAGCGGTAAACACATAAGCGTGTTAGTTGGAAAACTCCTCCGCTGGCAACCTGTGTCAATCTCAAGCATGGAGGTTTAAAGTACTCATATCCAGGGCCGTAAATAAAAAATGAGTAAGTCGCCATTAAGAAGAAGAGTTATTATGTTTTATTTTATATATGTAGTAGAAAATTGTTGTATGTTAATATGTGATGTTTAGGGAGGTCTTATTAAATGTTAACTTAAGTGTGGTTTTAGACAAAAATAAATATTAAGTAATAGGACCAAGGTATCAAAGCGTTAATGGCATTTCTTGTTGAAATGAAATTGGTCAAAACCTAAAACATATGTACTATAGATCACATTTAATAAAATAAACTACTAAACATCCATTACATTTTATTACATAAAATACAAGGTGTATACCCAGGACTATAATAATATATATATAATATGAAGTACATATATTTGTATATTAATTTGGTGGAACAAAAATTCAGCAGTAAGCTTTTAATCGCAATCTCATTGAACACTGAAAGGATATGTGAGAATGTTTGAATGGTAAAAGCCACTACTTATATAATTATTATATAATTTAACGTGACCGTGGTGACTGTCAAAATTCATTTTCGCTTATTAGATCGCCTTCTCTGCTGTGGTGTGAACTAGTCGTTCGAATGGGTATGAAACTGAACGAGTCTCTGGCTTTTTTGTTTTAAGTTTCGCTTTCAGTATTTCGGTTTTGGAATGTAATTCTTTAATTACTTTTTCTATTTTTTCTTCTTGAGATACATTCACTTCGATAACCGTTTGGGTTGCTACATCGTATGTTATTTTCTTCTTGAGGACTGGACTGGACTTTCAATTTGTCCTTCCTGGCGACACCTTCCACGATTTTGGCTCAGCGGTTTTCTTAGCGCTAGGGCTAGTTCTCAGTAAATGACAAGTCTGACATTCATGAGATATTTATTATTACAATATAATAACTGCTAATAATCTTACTTCCTTGGAAGTTATGACACTGTTAAAAATTATTGTAATATGAACAGGCTCATCCATATTGGGCATCGGTCGGGAATTAACTCTCTCTGAAATTGGTCTGGTTTGATCTGTGAAACTGGTCCTGAAATTTCAAAAGAACTTTTTAGTTGAACTCTTTATAACAATATTACTTGTAAAAATCTTAAATTGTTATCTAATATAGGAAAATCTGTCACATATTCTTATTTTACCTGACAATATTTTCGGAGACGCTACATTTTTCTACGACCGACTGCAAAATGTCATTTACTAGCATTGGATCAAGCTTCTTTTTAGCCGGTTTGTCTGGTAATGCTGGTGAAGGTTTTCCAGTTAAAGAGAGGGTCGCCAATATTTTGAATATATAATGATTATTTAGTTATGATACTGGAACGATTTTTTTCACTATGAATTTAAACTTTTCTACTGACTTTCTGGAAAATACAGCAGTTAGTAGCTTTCTTGTAGCGTTTTTGTATGAAGTCCAATCAATGTGTTTAAGAAGCCTAGCTGGGACAACAGCATTTCCATCACCAATAGCCACTAATAAATTAAGGAATATTGCAGCATATACAACATACATAACATTGACAATATAATAATTAATACAAAAGAATTTGGATTACCGTGTCGTTATTAGTTTGGACATTATTATTTGGCATCAAAGATTTAATTCGCAAATACATCGTTCTCTGTTGTATCACCTTTATCTTTATTAAACGTAAAATGACAATCTCTCATTGAACTCTGAAAGGATATGTTTAGTAGAAAGTTTTAATGTTAAAAAAAGACTTCTTATATCTTTAATAATTTCAATTACTAAGTCCGTGGTGACTGTCAAATTTCTTTTTCGTTTATTGGATCTCCTTCTCTGCTGTTGTCTGAAGTAGCCATAACTTCAACAGTCTGTCATTTGTTCTAATGGGTCTGGAACTGAGGGAGTCTCTGGCTCTCTGGTTTTAAGTTTCGCTTGCAGTACCTCGATTTTGGAATGTATTTCTTTAATTACATTTTTCATTTTTTATTTTTAAGGTACATTACCTTTATCTGTTTGGGTTGCCACATCGTATGTTATTTTCTTCTTGGGCACTGGACTGGACGTTCAGTTTGTCCTTCTTAGCGTCACCTTCCATGATTTTGGCTCAGCGGTTGTCTTAGCGTTAGGGCTAGTTCTCGGTAAATGCCAAGTCTGACATTCATGAGATATTTTTATTACAATATAATAACTACTAATAATCTTGGAAGTTATGACACTGTTAAAAATTATTGTAATATGAACAGGCTTATCCATATTGGCCATCGGTCGGGTATTAACTCTCTCTCTAAAATAGATCTGATTTGGGCTCGGAAGCTGGCCCTGAAATTTCAAAAGAACTTTATTGTTGAACACTTTATCACAATTTTCCTTTATAAAAATCTTAAATTGTTATCTTGTATAGGAAAATCTGCCACATATCCTTATTTTACTTGACAACATTTTCGGAGACGCTACATTTTTTCCTACCATCTTCAAAATGTCATTTACTAGCATTGGATCAAGCTTCTTTTTAGTCGGTTGGTCTTGAAATGCTGGTGAGGGTTTTCCCGTTAGAAAATGGGTTGCCAGTACTCTGAAAATATAATGATTGTTTACATATGATACTGGAACGAGTTTTTCCACTATGAAATTCAAGTTTTCTACTGACTTTCTCAAAAATACAGCAGATAGTAGTTTTCTTGTAGCGTTTGTGTATGAAGCCCACTCCATATGTTTGAGACGGCTGGCTGGGACCACAGCGTTTCCATCATCACTAGCCACACTCCTCCTTAATACAGACTGAGATTACATTATTTTGTTTTTACGGCTCTTGATATTAATCCTTTTGAGCCTCCAGGCTTCATACTAACACTGGGGTTGCCAGCTGCGGAGTTATGTTACTAACACGCCGTCTTATGTGTTTACCATGCAGTGGGTCCTCATATCTGTAAACAAAAAAAAAATTCTTATCAAATATTATCAAAGAAATGAATATTCGCCAGATGTTCTTTATTGAGATGAAATGAGATGATGATAAAACGAGAATATTTACTATTTATATCGGCAACACTGAACTGACTTTCAAACAGTATTATAAATTAGAAATCGGTTGAATACGAAGTATGTTTTTGTTATTGAAAAATAATAAAATCAACAAAAGTTTAACACTCCCATGTTAACTTGAATTATATTTTGCTAATGACAGTATTTAATTACCTGAGTAATATTTTTAATTATCTTATAATTATGTTTGTTTTTTATTTTCTAATTAGATTAATAATATTCTTCGGATTCATCATCAGGGGTGATATTTTCTTATTTTGATATCTTTTTCTTCTTTTTATTTTGATTTCGTGTGCGGAACATTTTACTTTCGTCCGCACACTTTGTGGTGATACTGGTCCTGAAATTTGAAAAGAGATTCTTAGTTGAAATTTTTATTACAATATTCCTTTATGAAAATCTTAAATACTTTTTTGATACATGAAAATATATTATTTTCATACCTGACAACATTTTCGGGGACGCAACATTTTTCTACGACCGTCTGCACAATGTCATTTACTAGCATTGGATCAAGCTTCTTTTTAGCAGGTTTGTCTGGAAATGCTGGTGAAGGTTTTCCAGTTAAAGAGTGGGTCGCCAGTACTCTGAAAATATAATGATTATTTACTTATGTTACTGGAACAAAATTTTTCGACTGTGAAGTTAAAGTTTTCTACTGACTTTCTCGAAAATACAGCAGTTAGTAGTTTTCTTGTAGCGTTTGTGTATGAAGTCCAATCAATGTTCTTAAGAAGCCTAGCTGGGACCACAGCATTTCCATCACCAATAGCCACCTATAAATTGGAGAGTATTACAGCTTATACAACAAGAACATTGACAATATAATTAATACAAAAGAATTTGGTTTACCTTGTCGTTATTAGTTTTAACATTATTTTTAGACTTTAAAACTTTTATTCGCTTTACATTTTCCTCTGTAGTATTATAATTTTTATCTTTTTTAAGCGTAGAATCGCAATCTCTCATTGAACTCTGAAAGGATATGTTATTTAGAATGTTTGAATGATGAAAACGGCTATTTATACGTATCTTTTATAATTTAACTTACGAAATCCGTGGTGACTGTTAAATTTCTTTTTCGCTTATTGGATTTCCTTCTCTGCTGTGGTCTGAAGTAGTCATCACTCGAACAATCAGTTATTTGTTCGAATGGGTCTGGAACTGAGAGGGTCTGCGGCTTTCTGGTTTTAAGTTTCGCTTCCAGTACCTCGACTTTGGAATTTAATTCCTTAATTACCTTTTCCATTTTTTCTTTTTTAGGTATATCCATTTCGGTAACTGTTTGGGTTGCTACATTGTTCGTTATTTTCTCCTTGGGGTCTGGACTGGTTTTTAGATTTTTTCTTCCCGGCGATACCTTCCACGATTTTCGCTCGGTGGTTGTCTTAGCGTTAGGGCTAGTACTGGGTGAATGCGAATTCTGAAATTCATGAGATGTTTATTATTACAATCAAAAATATTAAGTCTTCTTCTATAAATATAATAACTAATAATCCTACTACCTTGGAAGTTGTGCAACCGTTAAAAATTGTTGCAATATGAACAGGCCCATCCACAGACATGTTGGCCATAGGGTGGGAATTGACTCTCACTGAAATGTATAAAATCCATAATGTAAACACATATTTCAATAACACGTACAAATTTATTGGAGTAGATATGTAATAATGAATGAATGAACTAGATTTTTGTTTATCTAATATTGGGAAAACATATTTACCATAATTATTCCTGTGTAATTCCAATAAAGCCAGAGCCGCATCCATTTCAGATGTTATCATCACAGTAGTCATTGTCAACTGAAAAAAATAATTAAAAAATAGACACGAAGTTAGACAAAAGTAGTACATTTGAATATACCAAGACTTTGTTGCAAGTTGCAGGTACAAAGTAAAGGTTTCCTTAGTCTAGATGTACACAACGTTAACAGTAATATTCTATATGTATTATGGTTGCTGGCTCGAGTCTACCATCCATAGAGCTATTGTTTACTTATTATATCCTTATAGATCAGTTTACGTCTTTCTTTTTTTTTTATGCGAAAGCTGGCAAACGAGCTGACGGCCCACTTGATGGAAGGTGGTTACCGTCGCCCACGGACATCCGCAACATCTTTGTTACGGATGCGTTGCCAACCTTATTTTTTAGGGATAGGAAGGAGTGGGAATAAGGAAATGGTAGGGAATAGGGAAAGGGCAACCGGCTCTCTCACTCATCGGACGAAACGCAGCCATTAAAGGCTACTTCACGCCGATCTTCTATGAGAGGGTGGTACTTCCCCGGCCGAGCCAGCCCACGTTCGAACTGTAGTAACTGACTACAGCTAGGCTCTACCACCTATAAAATAACATCTTTTATTTTAGACACTTCTACCTGCTAACCATTTGTTGGAAGTGTAAGCCTAGTATGGACTTATATTATTAATTGTTATTGAGGAGCACTTCAATATTTTATATTTAATACATTAGTTATAGCTATTTTTAACCCTTGTTATTAAAAAAAAATCTCTACTCCTGAATTATATAGGTACATTAAATTTAAATTGAAATGAATATCAGTGTTTCGGACACGACGCGTATTTTTGATGTAATATATGTAGTTGTACATTAATATTTATAATGTAGTAATAATAAAGCTCAGTTTCATTTAAATAAACACACGCGAAAATCTTCAATATCAATACATAATTAGACTAAAAGAATGCTTTGTTTTAATATTATTAAGTCATCGCGTCTCTCTGATTTCTACCAATATAATAAAAGTTCATATATTTATCTAAATATTGAAACCTATGAGAGAATTTTTCTACAATCATCAAACATAAAATTTGACAAAATATATTTTTGTTATTTAATATCACTACTATATGCAATCTGGCATTACAATAACAAACAAGTCAAAACTCAAACGAAAATACGTTTACATGTAAAAATTATTCGGTTTAAATATATTCAAATTTGTTAAAAATTAAACTTACCGATATAAAAAAATTACTCTCACAGTTAATATATCAGAATAACACACGTGTGGTTACTTCCTCAATTACTGAGTGTACACTGACCAATATTTGCAACAGGGTTGACTAAATCACCTCGCCATCGGGTAGCTTTGGGGGTTTCATTACATTACTCTTTAGTTTCATTATCAGGTACATCCTTAATTCTTATTGCCCTCTATTGTTTTCAATTCTTTCAAATACGATTTCAAACACAATACGACTACGAAGAAAATTCATTGACTAGAAACTAGTTTATCCATTTATTGAACTAATTAGCTTTCAAGAGTAATTCTTATAGGGATTAAAAATTTATTTTATTTTTAAAATAACAGGAATCGTTTTGTTTGTATTTTGAAACTATCAGGTAAGGAACTTAAAGCCTATAACAGGCATAAAGAATTATATTATATTAGAAATCAAAATTCCTACGTTCAAATCTTTTTCCAAATCTGATAATGACTTATACTTATAAACCTTTTTTTATTTTAGAATTCTTATTTAATTATAAATGAAAGTCCCTTTACCAACTTAATGATTCACAGTTAATGAAGGTTTATAAAGACGAATATTAAAAAGTCCTTTAAGACAATCAAATTTTTTCAGTTTCAAAAAATTATAAAATTAAAAGTGAAAGATACTGTAGTAGTTTAATATTGTTAAATAGATCACAAATTTTATGATCGTTTTTTTTTACTTTGTAATACCATATGGACTTTGTAATAATAAAAATATACTTTATCGTTATTTTGTAAATCAAAAGTTCCCACCTCTACCGCGTACAAATCAACGACGAACCTATTTTGAGTTAGTTCATTAGTGAGCTTGTATGTATATCTTGTATTCCGCCTACCAAGACACAGACAGTGACATTTACTTGGTTTTGTCTTCAATCCATCCGTCCACTCACAGAATTTATCCACTTCATCTAATAGTACTTGACAGTGTTTGGGGTTACGTGTCAGTATTGCGAGATTATCAGCGAAGGCTAAAATGGATTCCGTGTATGTATTTGTCATTGAACTTAAACTGATACCCCCATTTTTTCTCATTGCTGATAAGTTTATCTACTAAGATATTGATAACAATATTTAATACTATTGGAGATGAACGACAACCTTGAAATAGTCCTACAATGTAACTCCAACTTTTTTAAGGGCCTTCTTTAGTTATTATAGAAATAAATATGTAGAAAAATTCAGAAAAATTAATTTATTTGTACTGATTCATTCTTATTTTACCAAATGTATATACAATTATGCATTACCTTATTATTATACATATATATCGGCGCTATCAGCTTTAATGACGGATGCGACGTGAAAATAACTTGAGCCTGTCATCAATTATTATTATCATAAGTCATTAGTATTAATGATTATTATTATTTAAAGTAAAACGAAATCAAAGATTGTTTAAAAGGAGAATAGAACTATGTTTAAATCTTGTTATAAATATGATGTCTGGACGCACGACAGCAGAGTTCAGTTAGTACGGACCATTGAATAATGTTATTATGAAGAACCTTCGAGAAATACAGGAACATTAAGAACAATTGAAGTTTCATTTTAAAATATCATGGAACATTCTAGATGAAGTGACATATGTAAGTGACGTCAGCGAGGCTGGCGTCTCTCTCTTTAAAAACAATGAATATACTAATATTATAAAGCTGAAGAGTTTGTTTGTTTGTTTGTTTGTTTGAAAGCGCTAATCTCCGAAACTACTGGTTCGAATTGAATATTTTTTTTTGTGTTGGATAGTCCAGTTATTGAGGAAGGCTGTAGGCTATATAACATCACGCTACAACCAATAGCTCTTTTAATGATCTAAAAAACAGTCCGCGACAGTATATGTCTATCTTTTAAGATTAACTCACAAAAACCGTTTTTATGGTACCTAATTTGGTCGAAATAATTTGTTTAAGTTGTATCAACATAATAATATTAATCTTTATTCAAATAAACAAATAAATATGTTGTTGGTTAAGAGTACTTCATTGTGAATAAAAAAAACATAGGTTTTATCCTGAAAATTCTACGGGAACTCGACCTTTCCGAAAACCCCGCAAGAACGGGATCTATGTGGGAAGAACCAAAAATCTGCCGGAAGTTACTATTCCACGCAGACGAAGTCGCGGCAAAAGCTAGTTTATAATAAATCCGATATATATACATATATACACATTTATAGTCCAAGGTATACACTTTTTATTTTATGAAATGAAAAATAATGGATGTTTAATAATATATGTTGTCATGTAAATGTATTCAACAGTATTTATTTTTTACTAAAAGGAAAAGCTCACAAGTGACCATCTATGTATGTTTATCAAAAAATCTAATTTATTGGTTTTGACCAAGTTCATTTAAACAAGAAAACATTATTCACGTTTTGATACCTTGGTTCTATTCATTAATTTTAATTTTGAACCAAAAACTAACTGAAATGAACCTTATTGAAAAGAAAAAAAATATTTTTGATTGTATGTTGAATTTATTTGTCTATTTTATAATAATGAGAAAAGTATGTACATTACATCATAAAAATAAAATGCTAAGAATATGTAAAAGTTTTGATATTTATTTATATTCCTTTGTATTTTTATCACGAAAAGGTAAAACTTCTGAAAGTTTTATAACTAATTATTCGTTCAAGAAGAATTTCTAATTTATGAGTTTTTTACTTTCTAAACATTCATACAAATAAACTCATATTTGTTGACTCCATTTGAATTCGGGTTTTGCAGGAAAGTAGCTAATCAATGGCCGTAATACCTATAACTGTTTTAGGAACTTTTCGGTTGTACCCATAATATACACAAGTATCGTACTTTTTTCCACATTGCTTAAAAACTACAGCTGATTATAAACATATGTTTATTGTTATATTTGAGTGAAGATATTTTTTCAATGGTTAGAATTCTAGAAAATGATTAAGTTTATAACTTTCAATGGTTTTGTAAAATTAGTACTGTTTCTTAAAATTCAAACGACTTCCAACGGCTCAAAGCCGCTAAAAGATTATTATAAGATCAGTGTTTCATATTCTTTTGTTTGTTAATATTTCTACCTGCGAATAGCAATGGATCCTAAACTTTGGTTGCTTGTAGAATATGTCGAAGATAAAAGTGCGTTTTCTAATTACGGCGTTATAAATACTAATAATATCATCCAACACGAGGCCGACCTTAACAATGGGAATGCTATTTTCGTCAGAGATAAAAACAATGGAGCACGCAAGGACCAAGTACTTAGGATATCTGGTGGGATGTGATAGTTCTAGATGTAAAAATTTCAGTTAACCCTTTGTTCTTTTTTCTTTTTCAGATCCATCACAATCGTATTAATCTTACTAAATCCATGACGAAAAACCATTATTATCAATCTAAAAGACGAGATTCAATGCCCAATGGACAAATAAGTCGACTTTTAAATGACAAGACTATTTTCAATATGAAAGTTACATAATATATAGAACTTGCCCTCCGGCTCAGATTCGCCCGCATGGAGTCCGGTTTCCAAGAGAACCTTTTAAAAGTCTGGAATAAAAAATATCTTATGTTCTTTCTCAAAGTCAACTCCATCTCTGTACCAAATTTCATTAAAATCATTTCAGTGGTTTGGGCGTGAAAGCGTATTTGCCATTGTTTACCCCCCACAACCATCCTTGTGGGTGGAATTTCGTAAAATCCGTTCTTAGCTGACCTATATTCGGCGAAAGGAATAATTCTACCAAATTTCAAGTTGCTACGCCTTATGGTTCCAGGGATATCTTGATGAGTCAATTATAGGTGGAAATCTCTTTTATACTCGTACATATAGATATATAATATTGATTATATCAGGTATCCTTTGGAAGCGGAAATGTTACTGTGCGAGCAAGTCTCATACCTCCGCGAAGCGTCAACTGCTGCAGGCTGTCTTTCCTAGGAGGTTATCATTGTTGAATATCATTTCTATTATACATACAAAGCATAAAACAATTATATTATGTTTTTAAGAGTTTTAGCTACCCATTCTCTAATAGATCGGTTACTTTTAATAAAATATGATAGATTTTCCGATATCAAATAACTATTTTTAGATTTTCCTAAAGGGATATTGTGATAAAGATTTCAACAAAAATGTCTATTGTAATTTCAGGACCAGTATTACAACAAAATATGCGGACGAAAGCAAAATTATCAGAACACGTCAACAAAATAAAAAGAAGCGAAAGTCCACAGAAAAAGAAAATATCGTCTCAGGTAATGAATCTGAAGGATCTCTTATTTTAAATAGAAAAAAGAAACAAACAAAAACATAAGATTTTATTAATTTCAGAGAGAGTTAATTGCCGACCGATTGCCAATATGGATGGGACTGTTCATAATAAAACAATTTTTAACAGTTTCCTAACTTCCAAGGGATAAAGATTATTAGTATTTATTATAATTATTTAAAAAGAATAAAGATTTTTGATTGTAATAAAATTTTCTCGTGGACGTCTGACTTCGCATTCACCGAGTACTAACGCTAAGACAACCGCTGAGCAATAATCCAGTCCCAAAGAAGAAAACAACATACAATGTTGCAAACCAAACGCATATGGAAGTGAATATGACTCAAAAAAAAAATTTGTAAAAAATACAGTGTATATCTATATATATAAAAGAAAGTCGTGTTAGTGACTTCACTTATAACTCAAGAACGGCTGAACCGATTTCGCTGAAAATTGGCGGGGAGGTAGTTTAGAGCTAGGAAATTGCAATATGATACTTTTTATCCCGTTCAACAGCATTCCCGTGGGACTTGACATGAAACGTCAGTCACTATAAAACGTGGAATAACGAAATACAATTGACAGAGCCTATGCAATTGACGTATAATGACCGATATGTAATTTAGTATTTGCGGGATAAATTTAGAAAATCATTTTTTTTCACATGGGCAGTTACAGTTTGTGTGTGTTTGGAAACCATCCGCTTTATTTGTGTTAACGTTAGACCAAAAACAAAAAAATGTGGTTTACAAAGGAGCAGTTCAATGAAACGGATAATTATACTTTGGATACTTCGGATTCGCTTTCATTTACTTAGAGAAGTTCAACTAAATAATACTTCATTTTTGTAATCGAAATGAATTCATTACTGTTGTGAAATGAAATAAAAATTTTCCTTTTCAAATATAAAACAAAAAAAAATTCTTCATCTTTTAATCACCGAACGAAATGTTATATAAAAGCCTTCTGGTGGCGAAACGGAGTTCGCCAGGTTTACTAGTATAAGTATATAAGTAGCCGTTTTTATCATTGAAACATTCTAAATAACGTATCCTTTCAGAGTTCAATGAGAGAATGCGATTCTATGTTTACTACTGAATTGTTATTCTACCAAATGAATTTACATTTATATATATGTATATATTTATAGTCTTAGGTACACACCTTGTATTTCATGAAATAAAATATTATGAATATTTTTGTAGTGTTTATTAAATGTATTCAATACGTCATAAGTTTTATTGAAACGAAAAAGTGATCATCTAGATCAAAAATCGAATTACTTGGTTTTGATCAAGTTTATTGAAACAAAAAAACAACTTAAACGTTTTTATACCATATATTTATTACTTAATATTTATTAATTTATAAACACTCTTAAATTAACATAATTTATAGCAAAAACAATTTACATTTCATACCGAATTAATTACCTTATGCTAAAATTGTTTGAATTAATAAAACAAACAATCATTTAAGGTACTTTACATTAGAATTTACTTCTGATTCATCATCAGGGGTGATGTTTTCTTTTTTTGAGGTTTTTTTCTTTTTATTTTGTTCTCGTGTGCGGAACATTTTACTTTCGTCCGCACACTTAGTTGTGATACTGGTCCTGGAATTTGAAGAGATTCTTAGTTGAAATTTTTATTACAATATTCCTTTATGAAAATCTTAAATATTTTTTTGATACAGGAAAATATATTATTTTCATACCTGACAACATTTTCGGGGACGCAACATTTTTCTACGACCGTCTGCACAATGTCATTTACTAGCATTGGATCAAGCTTCTTTTTAGCAGGTTTGTCTGGAAATGCTGGTGAAGGTTTTCCAGTTAATGAGTGGGTCGCCAGTACTCTGAAAATATAATGATTATTATTTACTTATGATACTGGAACGAAATTTTTCCACTATGAAATTAAAGTTTTCTACTGACTTTCTCGAAAATACTGCAGTTAGTAGTTTCCTCGTAGCGTTTGTGTATGAAGTCCAATCCATATGCTTAAGAAGCCTGGCTGGGACCACAGCGTTTCCGTCTCCAATAGGCACCTAGACATTAAGGAGCATTACAGCATATTTATATAACAATAACACTGATAATATAAATAATACAAAAGAACTTGTTTTACCGTGTCTTTATTAGTTTTAACAGTATTTTTCGGCGTCAAAGCTTTTATTCGCTTTACATCGTCCTCTATAGTATCTTCATCTTTACTAAATGTAGAATCGTTATCTTCAATTGAACTCTGAAAAGATAGGTTAACTTGAAAGATTTTATGTTAAAAATATACCACTTATATCCTTAATTCTATAACTTACGAAGTCTGTGGTGAATGTCAAATTTCTTTTTCGCTTATGCGATCGCCTCCTCTGCTGTGGTCTGAAGTCATCACTCGAATAATCTGTAATTCGTTCGAATGAGTCCGTAACTGAAGAAGTCTCTTGCTCTTTGGTTTTGAGTTTTGCTTCCAGTACCTCTATTTTGGCACACAAATCTTTAATTATTTTTCTCATTTCTTCTATTTCAGGTTCGTTATTTTCGTCGATATCCGTTTGGGTTGCTATATCGTATGTTGTTATCTTCTTTGGTACTGGACTGGTTTTTCGACTTTACCTTCCTGGCGACACCTTCCACGATTTTTGCTCAGCGGTTGTTCTAGGGTTAGGGCTAGTACTCGGTGAATGCGTATTCTGAAATTCGTGGATATTTATTTTTATAAAAAAAAACTTTATTAGTTTTAAAAAAATAAATACAGGAACTACTGATAATTTTAATACCTTGGAATTTACGAAACTATTGAAAATTGTTGCAATATGAACTTGCCCATCCATATTGGCCATAGGGTGGGAATTGACTCTCTCTGAAATTTATAAAATTCATAATGAAAACACATATTTCAATAACACGTACAAATTTATCGGAGTAGATATGTAATAATGAATGAATGAACTAGATTTTTGTTTATCTAATATTGGGAAAACATATTTACCATTATTATTTCTGTGTAAGTCCAACAAGGCCAGAGCCGCATCCATTTCGGATGTTATCATCACAGTAGTCATTGTCAACTGAAAAAAATAACCATTGCTTACCAAATTTATATATAAGTTTTGCTTTTAATAGACTTTAAGTTAGACAAAACTAGTACATATAAAAAAAATATGACGGTTCCATTGCATGTCGCAGGTACAAAGTAAATAGTTCGTTTGTCTCGACGTACACAACGTTACGTGTAAGCCTAGTTCTTAGACAACATACTTTTAATCGATATTGAAGGACGCTTGAATATTTTATATTTAATACGTTAGTTATAGCAATTATTTTATACAATTGTTATTTAAAACCTTATGTATTCCTGAATATGAACTTTGAATTAAAATTCACACTACTTCAATTCAAGACTATAGTAGAAGTTTTGGTATCTTGTACATAGGTATGTTGTATAGGATAATAACTAAACAGTAGTAATAAAATTCGTTTTCATTCAAATGAGCACTCGTGGAAATGGTAAATATGATTATTAAAATTTAAACTAATAGAATGTTTGTTTTTAATACTATTAAATCAGCGCGAGTTCTGATTTGTATGAATATAAATGACAGTTCATTAGAAAATACAAGTAACTTTAACCTAGTAAAATTATTTTTTCCTACAAGCATCGAACATAAAAAAATTACAAAAAATTATTGGTATTATACATATATTTAGAATCACTTTTATCTTCAACCTGATAAAACAATAACAAACAAGTTAGAATTCAAACTTAGATATGTTTACATGGATAACATATTCCTTTAAAATTTAAATATTGAAAATTATTAAAAATTTAAACTTACCGATATTTAAATTATTATCACAGTTAAAAGATCACAATACCAACAAGTGTGGTTACTTCCTCAATTACTGAGTGTACACTGACCAATATTTGTAACAGGGTTGACTAAATCAGCTCGCCATCGGGTAGCTTTGGGGGTTCCATTATATTTCTCTTTTGTTTCATTACCAGGTACATCCTTAATTCTTATTGCCCTCTATTGTTGTTAATTCTTTCAAATATAGATAAGACTACGAAGAAAATTCCATTCACTAGTAACTAGTTAATCCGTTTATTGGACTAATCAGCTTTCATGCGTTATTCTTATTGTTCTTTCTTATTCTTAAAAATATATTTTATTTTTAAAATACCAGCAATTGCTTTGTTTATATTTTCAAACAATTAAGTGAGTCTGTCTTTATTATTTCGGTGTATTTTTAACAATGTTGTTCGTTTTACAGTCGTTAGGTTTAAATAATAAGATCTAAGATTTTCGCGAGTCTTATTCATTTAAATGAAACTAATATGCAGAGCCGTTAAAGTATTTCCTATCATCTGAATATCTCATGTGGAAGGATGAATTCTACATACAAGTAGATGGAGTTGCAATGGGTTCACCGGTTTCCCCTGATATATTCATGGAAGACTTCGAGGTGCGAGCCCTTTGCTCTCCTCGAGTAAGACCTTTAATATATAAACGGTATGTAGATGACACCTTCAAAATATTAAATTAAAAAAACATCTGCTTTTCTGAACCATTTTAATTCTATCAATAGCAAGATTCAGTTTACTATAGAATTAGAGGCAAATAATTCATTAGCTTTTCTTAATATATTTTGTCATCAGGAATCCTGATAATACTTTGGGACATACTGTTTATAGGAAACCCACACATACGGATAGGTATAACAATGGTTATTCACATCACCACCCTATACAGTTAGCTACCGTTGGCAAATCGTATGCCAGAAAATTAAGAAATCGATGGTGGTAGGTGATAAATAACAAGATCAAGTATGTAGTTTTTATCAAAAATAAAGTCGCGTAGTATACCTGAAAATATCAGTTTCATTCAAACGTTAGGTTTAAAATTTTAAATTACTTAAAAATAACTATGTTTATATAAGTGATATTTATAATGAATGTTTGCAAGCTGCACTTATATTTATAGGTGCTTTCTCTGATTGGTAATTATATATTTAAAAATTTATCACAAATTTGAGATTGTTTTCTCAAAGTTTTGTAGTATCCTATTGCAATTTATTATTATTATATTTTTTGGTAAATAATCTATTACACATTATTATATCGGCAAAATATACTATATTTCATTATTTTGTAAATCAAAAGTTAGAGTTTGAAATTTCATTTCACATATGTATGTATATAATATAGAGGGAAAGTTATAAAAAATATAAATTGTACTGCGTCATTTTTGTTCCACCAAATGTTTAAAAATTATATATTATGTTAAATGTATTGCATAGGTCTTATCCTTTATTAAAAGGAAAATCTCACGAGTTCATTTCAACAAGAAAAATTCGTAAAAGTTTTGATACCTTAAGATCCAGTTTCACCAATCAATGTTTGTTTAGTCTAATCACAGCATTTACTAACCAACCTTCAAAATCATAAATGTCTGTTAAAATATTTACGTCCCACGGTGACAAATTAACAACGCATTATTAAATGTCATGTCAAATGACCGACTACCAAATTATTCTAAATCTGTTAATTAATATTTATTTTGAGAAAAAAAACAGACACTTACATTAACCTTATTTCTAAGTAAAACATTTTTTTTTCTTCTTCTTCTACCTGGCAATTTCCCAGCTATAGCCAGGGTCTGCCTTACATGTTGTGAATAGTTTTGGCTAATTGTGTTTACAACCGGCCGCCTGCCTGACATCAACCCTCTTTGGGAATCAGCATTAATCAGTGATGTCTAAATAATATTAGAAAGTACATATGACTCGGAAAAATCACATTTGTACTTGCCCGGGCCAGGATCGAACCCACGCCCTCGTGCATGAGAAGCGGACCTTTGAACCACTAGGCTACCACTGACTTTATTATATGCTGTATACTGCTCTTGCTCTCTCTAAATTACCATATGTTTAAATCGTTTGAAAAGGGAAATAGATTATATCATATAAAATAAAATGCTAAGAAAATATAACATTTTTGGTATATATTAAGTAAGAATGAGGGGTTATTAAATAAATATGACTTTTAAAATAATTTCATAAATAAAGTAAACAATCATTCAAGGTACTTCACATTAGAAATTTACTTAATAAAGATGATTTGTAATAAAAATATTTAAAAAAAACAAGTAAACGAATCTATAACATTTATCTTGAAAATTAAACACTAACTCTCCTCCTTAATGTAGACTGAGATTATTTATTTGTTTTTACGGCTCTTGATATTAATTCTTTTTAGCCTCCAGGCTTCATACTAACACTTGGGTTGCCAGCAGCAGAGTTATGTAACTAACACGCCGTCTTATGTGTTTACCATGCAGTGGGTCCTCATATCTGTAAACAAAAAAAACTCTTATCAATTATCAAAGACTTGAATATTCGCCAGACCTTCTCTATTGAGATTAAATGAGATGAGGATGAAACAAGAACATTTACTATTTATATCGGCAACACTGAACTGACTCTCACACAAAAACAACAGTATCATAAATAAAAAAAATAATGAAAGTAACAGAAGTTTAACACTCTTATGTTAACTTTAAATTAATTCTCTAATGACAGTTATTACCTGAGTAATAATTTTATTTATCTTATGATTATGTTTATTATTTTTTTCTAATTATATTAAAAAGACTCTTCTGATTCACCATCGGGGGTGATGGTTTCTTTTCTTGAGGTCTTTTTCTTCTTTTTATTTTGTTCTCGTGTGCGGAACATTTGAATGAGATGAGAATAATTTGAATGCGGATGAAATGAGATGAGAATGAAAGGAAAGGAGAACATTTACTATTTATATCGGCAACACTGAACTTGTTACGTAAGCATAATCAGATATTAAGTTTTCGGTATAAAAATTGTGTAAAGTACGGAATGCTAACTCTGAGCCATCGGTGGGAATGGAAAAGTGAAGTGGACACCACACGCCTTGCTCCATCGGTGAGAATGAAGAATGGGATTTTACATAAATTCAGTCTGGAGTCAACCACTGACTTACAGACACCTCTTTAGTATGTAGTTAGTTATAAAACTTAATTATAGAATGGGTCTTAAGTCAATCAATGACTTAACGACCCCTTCCCTAGCTAGTAGTTAAATATAAGTCTATAATGGTAATTGAATATATTTTATAAGTAAAACGGATTTTTCATGCATCCTTCGCTGCGTTTATTACGTTTGGTGGAAACGTAATTGGCGCAGTCGGTAGGATATTCGAGTAATACGGTACGGTCGCGTCAAGATTTCCCCTACTAGCGGTTCGAAGTCTCGCGTGACTTACCGATATCGAGTATCCGAATCTACTTGGAGGACAGCAAAGGTGAATCCAGACATCGATTCAGCTAGAAGATGAAGTTCATGTAAGTACTATGAATCTTTCAGGTCATTACCTATCCTAGTTGTAGCCCTTATCCTTACATATATGTATGTACCTAGCAAATAAAAAAAGAATATTAATAAATATATTATATTAATTTTTTTAATCATATTTAAATACATTTTCAGAAATCAATTTTTTATTGCTAGCGTTTTAAAAATTAGTTCTCAAAAATTTTCATCCAAGAAAATCGAGCTATCGTAGTAAGAGTAGGAGTAGATCTTGCAGACTCGACGTTATTGACGAGTTCAGACGGATAAGCGAATTTAAAATAATTAACATAAAAATGTCTCAGGATAAAATAGGTGAGACTTACAAAACGCTCTAGGTTTTACGTGACTTCTACGGTAACCCCCACGTATTAACGCGTTTTATAAATTTGTGTGACCAAGTAGTATAATATACATATGTTAAAACAGAACCGGGTTATGAGTTATCCAATTTGGCCCTTATTAATGGCATATTAAACAAGGTCACAGGCTCTGTAGCCAGATTGATAAATTCCAACGGTATTCTCGAAAATTGGATCGGTATTCGGAATGCACTTATTAATAACTTTGCAGATGATCGCGACGAGGCCGCTTTATTTAACGACTTATCATTACAAATTCAGGGCTAAAGAGTTCTATGAACGAGTTCAAAACTTATTTAGCACCATTATGACATACGTCACGT